AAAAAAAAAAAAAAAATAAAAAGTGAAGTTGTTAAAAAATTAAAAAAAAATGTTTGATTAGGTTTAATGTTTCTCACTTGGAAAGATCTTTGTTTAAAATTATTATTTAATAGCATTAAAGTAAATTTAAATGAAGTCACAAATGTAAGAGCAATCAAAAAAAGAAAAAAAAGTATCATTAACAATATCGGCGAACTTCTAGCAAAAATTGTTATTCTTCGAAAAATATTTTTGATATGTTTCTGGATATTTCTATCATGGTCTTTACTCAGGGGAAAAAAAAGAAAAAGAAAAATTTAAGATACAATATAACAAAATACTGCGTATATAAAATCTATCGCAAATTACAGCTTGTCCATGTGCAGTCTAATTTTTATGATTCAAAGTTCACTGTGTTTTTCCTCATTTTGTAGGGATTAAGTACATTTTATGCAAGAAATATATTGCATTGTCATATAATCTAAAGCCAGCGACTGTTTCGAGGTATTACCAATTCAGTCTTACAATAATTCTTAATCCAAATGTTTTGGAGAGATTGCAGTAAAATAAAAATATTAATCAGATATTTCAACATTACATTAATTAAACACTGGAAAATATTCTGAAGTGACGAATTCATTCATTTGGCACAGAATACATATTACAGTACATTCCAACTATCATGAAATATCTTATTCTATCAGCTGCATGTCATGACGTTTGGTTTTTTTAGGCAATATATATATTTTTATGTATATATATATATATATATATATATATATATATATAAGATTGAATGTGTCATAGTTGGTTAAAATAAAACAAAGTAGCCATAAACCAAATATAGTGAATTACATATTCGATTACCTTTAGGCCGCTTGAAAGAAAAAAATAATTCATATTACATCAAATGTTACTAATCAATAATAAGAATAATTTAGTTTTATATCTGTATGAATATCAAAAAAATATTACAAATATATTAATAAGATATTTTATAAATTACGTTTTGGAATAAAGTAATTAAATATTCCGAATTATTCCAATTTTGAATATCCATAGATTATAATGAGGACAAAAAAAGAGAAAAGAAATAATCAATATAATTGAAAGATAATCGAATTTGTAATACACTGTAAAGACTTTACATTATTTTCCTTGCCCCACTTATCAAAGAAATGATGTTTCTATGACTTCTATCTTAAATTAACATCTTATATTTTAAACATCGTACGATTTATGTAAGATGTAGGGAGCCAACTTTTCAGTTTATACCTGCAGATAAGTACTAGGAAATGGGGTTATGTATGGACTTCTTAAAATGTATTAGAACAAGATTAAGAAGTCGCTGCTACAACTACAGGGGGAACAACGTCAGGTTCACCTGCACCATCTGCTACGGCAGAATCAACGACTTTTTTTACTTTTATAGATTCTGCACTAGTATCTGTAGAACTCTCAGGCTCACCATTTTGTGCAGGTTTTTCCTCACTGCTTGTCAATGTGAGTTGTTCGCTCGATGATCCCTCGTTCAGTCCATTTCTGTGTAAATTTTCATCCGACACTGGCACATCGTCTCCATTTTGTGTTGTTCCATTTAATTTTTTCTTCTCTGATTCCACTGTACTTTTATCTTTCACTTCATCCGACACAGTTTCTTCTTTCACGGATTCTTTGCTTGATTCTTGTTCTATCGATTCAGCACTTTCAGTATGTTTTTCTGCTTTAGGTAAAGATGCTTTTACGTCTGCATTTTCCTTTGTTTCTCTATTTTTTGATTCTTCCTGGTTTTCTACTTTTGCATCACCATCTTTACTTTTCTCCACTGCAACGTTACTTTCTTGATCTTTCGAATCTTTCTTAGTATCATTATTTTTATCTTCTGTTTCTGCATTTGCTTCTTTCGTACTTATTTTTGCAATAACATCATCGGTTTTAGTAGCATCGGATAAAGGTGCATTCTCTATCTCCGAAGATATTTGTGTAGTCGTTTTTGATATTGTTTCCCCTTCGGCGGAATTTGCTTCAGTTGTGCTGGAATTAGTATTTTTTCTGCTTGTTGATCCCTCTACTTTTGTTTCAGTTTCTGCAGGTTTCTCAGAAACGCTTTCCTCCCTGGTTTTGTTATCTTTTACTGCATTGGTAGTTTCATTTTGAACTACAGTCTCAGACTTTGTGAACTTTTTATCGTCAGTCTCTGGTTTTGATACAGGCTCGCTTTTGGTTGCCGCCATAGCATCATCTGCAACTGAAGTAGCTCCAACTTTAGTTGGAGTTTCCGGTTGTTTAGTTACAGATTGTTCTTTTTCGTCAGGTTTCGCACTTGTTACAGTTATATCTTTTACATCTTTTACATCTTTCATAATTTCACTTTCATCTTTCTGGGTTTGATCTGTTTCATCAGTCTTGGTTTTTATTTCTTGTTCGGGTTGAGGACTTTTAGTTATTTCTGTCTTTTCGATTTCTTTTGCATTTTCAACCGGGATTTCTACATCCTCTGAAGTATCCATTGGCTCACTGCTGTTTGGATTTACAGATTCATCTTTTTTCTCCACTTCCGTGGGATTTAGTTTCTGGCGCTTCGTTGATGTTTGAAATGTTAAATCTAAGAAAGACTTAATAGTCATATAAGCAATCGCTTCTTCATCTGTCAAAGCAGCATTACCTTCGCGCGTAACTATAATCGGTAGTATGCCTGCTTCTTTAGCAGCTGCAGCTTCTTTTACAACATCCGTGAGAAATATTACATTATTCGCTTTTTCTCCTAGTTTCGTTAAAATATTCTTGTAACTGTTGCACTCTTGTTTAGCTCCTACTTCTGTGTCAAAGAATCCACTGAAATACTTTAGTAAATCGCCATGCTCGGAATGGCCAAAATGTAATTTTTGTGACTCTACACTCCCACTCGAATAGACATATATTTTTTTTCCATTGTTAACCCACAATTCCAATGACTTGGGTACATCGTCGTAAACCCTATACAAAAATTGTATTAAAATCATCGGAGTACAAATGGCGATAATATATTGAATTACAATTATAATAAAAAAAAAAAAATGAATCTTACCTTCCTTTTATGATTCCTGTTTTATAAGCATCATGCCACATGTTACCTTGCAATTGTTTAAGCGAATTTGTTTTACGATCATTGTCCATTTGCCAGAGGATATTTTTTATTAATGATTCTTGTTCTTCTTCTACATTACTACCAGTAATCGAAACAAAACCTTCAACTTTGTCTTCTTCATCTTTCTTAGCCTAAAATACAAAATCTTATTAAATTTCACTTTGTTTGTGAATAAAGTGGAAATGTCGACTCTACAGAAGTGTAATTTCTTCACAATAAAATGTTGACAAAAAGATAAAAATTAATTTATCATTAAAAAATATAAGACTATTCTTTGGAATTCATCAACATTAAATTCATAAAAAATACTAAAACTTCGTTACAAATATTATTCATTCTTTAATACATTTTATAAGTAATTATACAAATAATGATATTGTATAGAAATTAATTATTTAACTTCTTATAATCAATATAAATAATATGAGAATTAAAAAATCAAAAAACTCTGATATATAAATACAATATATTTACGTCTTTAATAAAAAAAAATTTTGATATATGATATATCAAAGTTAGGCGAATTCTAAAAGACAAAGAGTCTTCAAGTAAAACTTTTAGTAATACAACAGCTGCCTCTATCCTATCGTACTATTGGCTGCTTGTAAACCATTTTACAAAAACTGCTAACAAAGGGTATCATACCAAATTTCTATTATAAATAACATATATCAAAAATAAATATTAAATGTTGGTTAATTTAATTAAGTATATTATACAATATCAATTCCTAAATTTCAATAATTGTTAATAATATTTACCTGTTCTTTCAATTTATTATAAACTTCTTTGAACTTCTCATTATCCCAACACTCTGAAAGGTATTTTTTTAAATTGGCTCTCACATAAGGAAATAAAGTTTCCTAAAAAAGAATATCAAATATAAAAAGACTTAAAAAAAAAAAAATATATAAAAAATAATAAGAGGAAGATTAGAAACAATCATATTTAAACTAATAATCGTTGTTTGTTTCAATTCGGGTTCTGGAAAAAAAAATCTACAATAAACAGTACAAAAAAACAAACTGTAAATAAAATAAATTAAAAAAAAAAGAAACGAAAAAAACAGCAATACCATGAAATAATTACGCCGTTCATTGTACACATAATAAATATATATATACATNATAATGCATATATATATATATGTGTATGAAAAAGTAAAAAAAAAATTGTTTTCAACATCAATAGAAATTTGCCGCGAAATTTATTTAGGAATATTGATACGCATTTTAACAATGAACAGCGAGAGAATAAAAGAGAAAAGAGAAAAGAAAAAAGAAGAGGAAAGAGAAGAAAAGAGAAGAATGAATAAAAACCGGATAGTGCAAAAAAAAAAAGGTGAGGGCTCTTCTCTCTATCGAAAATTTTCAAAAGAGAAACTAAAAAAACTAACGTAAGAAATATTGTAGCGCGAAAGGAATAAAGGTATTATTGGTATCGATTACGAAAGGATAAATTTCCAAGGGGAATTTCTTTTTCGACAATTTCCAAGAAATATGCAGGGAAACGTAAAGTTCGTTGTCGCCGGCATCGTACACTACCCTTCCAACCAACGAACAAACGAACGAATGAATAAACGAAGGAACGAACGAATGGAAACGCGTGAGAAATATCCAAGAAACGTTGGGGAGAAAAGATTAACTAAGGGCTTTTTATATTCCCATAATTCTAAAGAAAAATATTTTCAAGAATTGACAAAGGGATTCTCCATTTTGTTATTTCATTCGTTATTCAGCCCATTTCGCAATAATAATAACAATATGAAGGATGAGATAAAAGTTAATATTAAAAACGGTTAAACGGGAGGAACTTTGTTAGGGCGCGTTCAAGAACGCCACACGGCCATGGCCTTTGTTACCTTCACGAAGCTTATGCTCGTCGTTGTACCCTCGATGTCAACCAGGATTGTCGTTTGAGATAGCATAGTATCTTCATGTTCCTGACTACGTTTTTCCCCGGCCATCTCTCCACAATTAAGTTATCGAATCTCTTTGGGCACCGAATAAAAGATAAATAATAAATATATTTGCGCGTGTAATTTATATTTCGTATCAAGCCGATGAAAACGGGACGTTAAAAGCACGATATTGTATATGTCTACGTCTCTTCGACGCGTTCTTGTTGAAAGCCGGCGGATGAGTTAGCTCGGGCCCCCCGCGCACTACTCTGTGTGCGTGCGAACTCGTTTCCCTTTTCCTCCTTGTCCCCTGTGCCGATCCACGGTAACCAGGGCCGTATCTATCATATTATTTTCTCCCCTTTTATCCTTTATTACACGCATCGCCTATTTTATATTTTATTTATTTTATTTCATTCTTTTTATACAATAAGTGCTTAAATATCTTTGATCGTTTGTCTTTTATCTTTCATTTATCTTTCATATCTTTCCTTTACTCGAAAAAACTCATTCTTCACCGCTACTGGATCCTCTATCTTTCATTTTACTTAACAAAATTCTTCTTCCTAACCTTGCGAGCTAGCTTTTTTATCAGAGTATTCATATATCTTATTTATATGAAAGATTGATTTATCGTAGATTATCATTTTGGCTTTCGTTAATGCCTTTATTGTTATTTTTTTAAATTAAAATTCTTTTCTAATTTAAAGTGAATTGAAATCTGTTGATATCGTAGATGATCCTTGTTTATAAAATATTCTTTACTTGCGACATCGGGAAGATTAATTTATCGATTAATAACGTGAATCTGATACTTAGAATAATAATTTTAAATTATATTTTGTTAAAACGTTAGTACATTCGAAATAAATTTATTTATGAAATTTTGTAAGACACGAGGCTCCAATATCGATTATTACGATCATGTATTATGAACGAAAATTGCAACGTGTTAGTGGCCATACGTTCGATATACATTGATATTCGCGCGTACGTGTAAATCGCTGCTTCGTTCAACCAATGAGCGTTCGTGTTTTACGGTGTCATGTTTGCATCCGCCGACAACGATCCCTACGCAAAATCTTTTTTTTGCAATAATTTTAATAGAAAAAAGTAAATTTGAAAGAAATCTTTAATCCAAAATATTTATAAATTCCTCAAGTTTTCATTAATAACTTTAAAATAGTAAAAAGAAAAATAATTATTTCAAGAAAGGAGGATAGACGTGACAAAGTGCATGTACACGTTTTGATATTACTCCGCACGAAAGTAGTTCCTGGACACGTTATTTTTTATCAATTTTTCGAATTTTACTATACAAACGACGTTTTTTTTTAACTCAATTATAAGATCCAGAGATATTTATTCGCATTTATTTCAATGATTAACATTTTTTTTACAATTATTGGTTATTCGTATATTCGATGTTATTAATAGAAAACGTTAAGGTGGTTATATACAGCTGAGAGACACAACCACCTGATTTTTGCATGGGGTGCGAACGTCGACTGTGAACGCGGAACCATTTAAACTTTGACGTTCGTTAGACTTCCACGTGCTGATTCTCATCTGTCAGCATTGTCGCTGACAACTTGCAAACCACGTGTATCTTACACATTTTTAGGAAATGGATATTTTTATATTATGATTTTAATACAAGCTAATTAAAATGTATTATGTATATATATTGCAGATATACTCTCTTATAAAATCGTTAATGTAATAATCGAATGTAGGACTTGTTATATCTTGTATAAAATCTGTTTTATATTTAACGAGCAAAATAAACTACGTTTATAAAATAGAAAAGAATTACAAACGTATATAATTGAATATTGTAGAATAATTTTATAGAATAGATTTCAATTTTATTTTCAAACAATCAATGCAAAAGTAACGATTATATATCTAACGTAAATAACAAAATCAAATTATATAAAATTATATACATATATTTACATACAAAAAATTACTACATTTGATATCAAATGCATCATTTATTTAACATTATCACGACATTAGACATTTTCCAATTGTTTTAATTTTTCACCTAAATGGTTGTTTAAATGAATTCTTATTTCTTGTTGATCATTACATTTTTCCCCACATTCAGGACATTCCAAATCGCCTTTGCCGTGATGCTGTTTACGATGCTTTGATCGATAATTGTACGTAGCAAAATTTTCTCCGCAATCCTGACACTGATAAGGTAATTCACCAGTATGCTTTCTTTGATGATGATCCTTCGAATCTTTGCGTCTAAACCTCATATTGCAGTATTCGCAAACAAACGGTTTTTTACCAGTATGTAGGAGAACATGATTGTACAAAGATTTAGTGTCATTAAAACCTTTCTCGCATTGAGCACATTTATATCTTTTCTCGCCATTGTGCTTGCTTCTTATATGATTTATTAAAAGTTGTTTAACTTTGTAAGAGATGTTACAGATATCACATTGATACACGGGATCCACTTTACCTTCGTGTATTCGTTCTTTGTGCGCCTTTAAAGACATTTGATGTTTAAACTTTTCGTTACATTCCTCACATTCGTACAATGGTTTTTGTCCTATTAAAATCGGATCTTGATCACTAATTTTGTGACTTTCTATCATATGAAATTTCAACATTCTATACGTTGGGAAACCTTCCATGCATATCGGACAGGTAAATACCTTCGGTAATAATATATTTTTATCGTGTTTCCAATGTTTTTCTAAATGTTCGTTCATATTTTGTTTTTTCCTAAACGATTTATTACATATATTACAAATGTAACGATTATGAGAAAAGTGTATTTTCCTATGAAGTCTTAATGCGTTCTTAGTCGTACATTTTTGTTCGCACACGTCGCATTGGAACGGTTTTTCACCTGTATGCGTACGATGATGCTCTCGTAGACGTGCTTTTAATTGAAAAGACTTACCGCATAATTCACAAATATAAGGTCTTGCACCCTTATGTACAAAAAGATAATGTTCGTATAATGAATTTTCTGCGCTAAATTCTTTACCGCAAGTACTGCAAATAAATTCTTTCATATTTTCATTGTGCCGCATTTCATGAAATTCCAATCTTTCCTTGCGCACAAAGTGTTTGGGACATTTGGAACAATGATATTGACGAGGCGATATTACTTTAGCTTCATTTCCATCTACAACTAAAGAAAGAGTCGAATCTTCGCAAGTAGAGCAAGTTACTAGATCGTTGATAGCATCCGGATCTAAATCAAAAATTAATTTTCCACATAGATTGCAATTAGTAAATGTTTTTCCTTGCGTTTGTTCCGACAATTCTTCTTGTGTATTATCAATGTCTAAATCGTCATTAACGGTATCTACATGAATTTCTTGAAAATTCAAATGGTTGTGTTTCTTTTGATGTCCCTTTAATTTCGTATATTTGGAAAATAATTTATTGCATTCCATGCAAATAAAATGTTGCGAACTTTTATGCGTGTAATAATAATGATCCCACAACAAATTTTCATTACACGCTTCTTTTCTACAAACGATGCATATATATTTATCCATACAATTTAATTTATGTCTTTCCATATGAAATTCATATTTCGATTGACAAAAATATTGAGCACCGCATAAATTGCATACTATTTTTGGTGAAGATTTTATATTATCGTTGTCTTCCATTATGATATCCTCGTTATTAATGATTTTTTCATGTTGTTGATTAATAATCGAGTTGTAATCGTCTTCTCTATTGAACCATGGAATATTATCATTAGATTCCAGCTTTACTAATGTATTTGTACCTTTACCATTTACAAGTTCAGGATACTGTTCGTTAATTACTTCTAATTTATCAATTTTAACAGGATTTAAAGTTTCTTTATATTCTATATTTCTCTTCAATTTTTTCTTAACATCTTTTCTATTTAAAGAATTTTCTTTACCAAACATATTGTACGTCAACGTACTCTTACGATTATTGTTTTTTATTTCAATACTTTCTTCGCTCATATGTGCTTTAGATTTGTTATAGTTTTGCGAGTTTACATTATCTTGTTTGATATTAAGTGCTACAGGTTTTTCAAAGACTTGTAAATTCTGCTCTTTCATAGAATAAATTTTATCGGAATGACCAACGATTGCTAGAGATATTTGAAAACTATAATCACAGTTTTGTGGATTACTAACTAATAATATCATTAAATCGATATTACAATTTGGGCACACGCATACAGTATCGCCATAAATCTTTGCGAATATGTCTGTTTGTTCTTTTTTGTTGTTTATTAAATCGTAACAATGATTTTCTTCATTATCTAATTCTTTCTCGTATTTTAAAACTTCTTGAATAAATTTATGATAAAGAATAACTTTATCGTGACAGGACAAACATATAAACTTTGAACCATTGTCTAGTGAAGATATCTGAAAAATAAAAATAAACAAATAATGATCTTTCAATTTTCATATACGTATGCTTTCATATTTAACCGTTTGAGTCCCAAATAGTTAAGACTGTTGAGACTGAAATAGTTAATTAGAATTTAAGAATATTTTATGGGGAAATATAAATAGGAGTATACCTGTACATACATTAATTGGTAACGTATCTATTATCTTTTGTTTAAGATCTGTAGAATCTTCAAATATATTTTTAAGCCTTCCGTCTTGCAGGTATGTACCACATAAACGACACAATAACATACTTAGAGTCAATTAACCACTGCATGCTCTTTAAGAATTTGATATCGATAATATTATAAGATCAACAAATCTATGATCACATAATATACATATTTTTAAAATCTAATTATATATATTTTATCAAATTTTCAAATCTACTATACTTACATATAAATATTCTTATAAGTATTTATAATCTTGAAAATTATTTTTATCATACATAAAATTAAAGGATTACATGAGGTTATTCGACAGATTTAATTAAAATATTTTCATATATTTTTTATATAATTGTAGTGAAAGTGTTTTCTGTATCAATAACAAATCACAAGAACTTTAAATTAAATTTCAGAGTTTTTAACCACGCATATAAAATATGTCAAATACCATATACATACACATACACGTGAGAATGAGACATGAATTTCATTCTTATATATCTTTCAAACGATTGGTCCATTCATTTTAAAAACGAGCCAACAAAAGTAATATATTAGACGATAACCTTTATTTCAAATATTTTATGAATGAAATGAATGAATATCGTAATACGTAGTATTAAAAGTACTCGATATAAATATTATATTTTTTAAATTTAAAAACCAAATGACAAATATTGAGTTGGTATAGAAAATATTTAAGAATTCAGGTATGTTGAAAGTTATGTCATTACCACGCAAGCGTCAAACAGTTCAGCTTCTGACCGATATTTTTTGGGTTTACGCAATAGACGATTCTGTCCAAGGGTGCAAAGTTATTTCGTCGTAAACTCTCGTTAAAATTGGAAATAATTTGTTAGAAAAATGTTGCGTATCGTGGCAGGACGCGTTGGATCTTCCTTAAGGAACGCAACGATACCTCGTGCAACGATTATCGGCACACAATCCTTGAGAAATTCTCACACGACCGAAACCGATGAAGAATTCGATGCACGATATGAAAAATATTTCAATCGGCCTGATATCGACGGCTGGGAGGCTCGTAAAGCTATGAACGATTTGGCTGGTAATGATTTGACATTAACAATTTTATCTTTTCGTCTCATTATTTTGTTACATTATATTACAAATATTTTAATTGTTTTAATTTTTCATTAAATCTAAAGTTCTTGTCATGAATCTTCTTCAACGATAACTTACAATTTCTGTTATTTTAGTAAAGCTCAATAGTTTTGTTTAATAATGTTATACATTTGATTTATATTACTAGATTTATGAATAGATTCTTATTTATAATTAACGTATTAATTATGTCATTTCCTGCGTAATCTCTCAATCAATTACAAGTTATATGGGGTATAACATTGTTACTCGTTAACACAACAAGCATTTGTTGTATTTACAATTCTTCTATCGTAATCTAATTGAAATGATTTTTATATCGTTTAAATTGAACTATGTTATATCTCTAATGGTTATTCGCTGCTTGCTATTAAAAGTTATTCTGTTATATTTACTTTAACTTTAGGTATGGACATGGTACCTGAACCCAAAATTATCTGTGCAGCGTTGAGAGCTTGTAGACGATTAAATGATTTTGCCCTGGCTATTAGGTTTTTGGAATCCGTTAAAGAAAAATGCGGTCCATATGTCGATACTATTTATCCATATATTCTTCAAGAGATAAAGCCTACCATGGATGAATTGGGTATTAATACTCTAGAAGAATTAGGATATGATAAACCGGAATTAGCCCTAGAAGATCCGAACAAAATGTAATTAAAAATGTATTCATTTCAACTTTAGTATTTATACTAAATGAAAGTGCATCTTTGTCAAGTTTCTCATTATTTATGAATGATTAAACCATTTTCGAATGAAATGTACTTTCAATAGATCTATTTATAAAAATGTTTCTTAATCGAATAAACAAATTGAAATTGTCATACAGTTGTTTTTTCTAATTATTACTTGATTGATCTACTAATAATCAAGTAATAATTTCTATTGATAAAGTCTAGGTTAGAATTATAACATGTACGAGGGTCAATGCAAATTTAATTAATGTGGGAAACATAATGAAATGATATGTGTGCTATATTTGAACTGTTTTTCCATTGGTTCTTTATGTCATGTTTTTAAATGGCGATGGACTCAATTTACTTTTGCTTTTTTTTTTACACTGAACTTAATCAAAGGAAAAATGACACAATCACGACATATTTACAAATTACATTATAGGATACACAGCAGTAAAGTCATCATATACATATATGCCTAGAATCATCTAATGTGTTAATATACGTTCCTTTTAGATGACATAGAACTTAATTTATGTTGGGTATGTTCCTTTCATTAACGAAAATGTAGAATACAACATGATCTTACCTATATATATGTTTATATATTACATCACGTTTTCAATGGCCATGATTTTACAAAACAATGCAACAATTAATATCTAATCAATATAATAATCTGCACTAGTAAATAGTTGTTATTAAATTTAAATACTTTTTTTTGTCTATGATATCATAAAAAACTTTTTGGTATCATTTATATGCCTAGTCCCAAAGGCAGCTTGTTGTTTCAATGTTACGATTTATTATTTTCCAACGTGTATGTTACAAGGATGAAAAACTTCTATGGATCTACAGGAACTTTGTGTATGGTAAAAATGTATTATCGATAATAAAATACTAATTAAGTGTAGCGACAAAGTCTTAACTTAACTTTCACTATGTATGAGATTAAAAAAATCATTGGCATTTTTGTATGCATCGATACGACTAAAGTATTAATAAATATAAATAAATTATATTACATATACATATATATAAACTATGTTTATTATTCGTTAGAGTGATTGCACAAATAAAATTATTTTTATTAATACTAGATTTTTTATTTCACTCATTTTTACCGCAACATTGAAACAAGATTGCACAAAGTAAATAGTTTTCTTTTTCTAACGTCAGATATAAAAATGAATTGGCTCTCGACTGCTATCGAAGAATGATTTTCTGTAATATAAAATAGAAGTGACGCGTTTTGATTACTTCAAAATGCAGTAAGAGCGATGTATTTTTCTAATTTTTATGTAAGGTACTCTGTTTAAAGTCGTGTATCTAGTACTGATTTTCTAAATATAAATGAAAAAAATATTAGCACAGTCGCCAAATTTGAAAATTTGCATTTGTTATTTATCAGTTCTTAATTTAAATATAACATAAATATAACGTAAGATTTACGTAATTATTTCATATTACGTATATTTCTTTTTTTATCACGTGTAAAAATGAAACTTAAAAAAAATTAAAATAGCAGAAATGTAAAATATAAAATATGAAATATTAAAATATATATTACAATCACACCCCTGAATTATGTGAATCGAATGTCAAATCCATATTTATATATATATTTTAACTTCTTGAGAAAAACAAAGAGAAAGTTATCTTATCCTATTTGTACCCGTCAGAAATGCTTAATTCTTTTTACTGCTATAATGTGATCCTGTGTGTGTATGTATATATGTGTGTATATCTATACATATATATCTCTACAACCAAGCACAAATTTGGTTCATTCTTTCGTCATAAAAATATGTTACATGTCTTTTGGCTACAGAGCCAAATATTTTTAAATCTGATCCAGAATACATATTTTTACACTAAATCAGATTGTTCATTTTTTTCGTTTTCAATTTGCAATATACCATGTTTTCATACGATTTTAAATAATAATCATTTATGAAATATTAGTTCTTTTTTCCAATTCTCTGCATATGTCCAACAAATAAATAAAAATGTTTATTTTATCAATATATTAAAAGCTCCACTTTTCTTTTTGTAAATAGATTAAAACACCATTAATCAGTTTAATATCAAAACATAATCTCGATATTAAAAATTTCACGTATGTGCTTTTCATAAATAGTTGCCTACTCAATAAAATTAATTAAACATAAAAGACGCGCGAACTCTTTGGAATATCCACAAGTTCAGCCAGTCCTAAAACCAATTCTAAGACTAGATGAAAATATATTGTTATCGTAATTGTATTATTGGAAGATGTGTATTGCATTTTCCATATAACAAAGATTTCTCCTAAGGAGTCAATTAATAAAATTTCTTGAAGATACAGTTATTCATTGAAATAAGTAGTACTTTCAAAAAGTCGTACTACTATTTGAGAAATAGAATTACAGGTAAATATTGTATATGTCTATAATAAATTTTGAATACAAACTCTTAATTCATCGATTAACGCACCCAGTTCATTTACACACTCAAACACACTCGTCTCATTATTCGGAAGAGCAGTTAATTATTCTGCACCACACAAAAATTCAAGACACAATAAGTCTGCCTCGACGTTTCTCAAATACAAATCCTTACAATTCTTTCACTTATTATTTTTTTTCTTCCACTCTCATTATTACACGCCGATTAATCTTAATAGATTTAATAGAGCTCGTTTATTAATTAATTATACACAATGTTGTTTTATTCCGGACTAGACACGGTTTGTTGTTGTTGACTATCTTCGTCTTTCACTACTTCTGCTTGCATAGCTTTGGTAAGAACGTTAGCGTCTTTTAATGATATCACTTGAAGAACTTGATGTTCTCCTGCTGCATTAATCATTGTCATTGGATGACCCTGAATAGTTACAGCTTCAATACTGGTCTCCCCATTTCCAGGTTCAACTTTAGGTACTTGGACCATTGGTGTTACAACTTGCATAGTACCGTCACTTTGAATATTGGCCACCATAGTTTGATACATACTTGCGGACACTGGTACAGTGATTACTCCTGACACAGATACTGGATAGCCTGTAACATAGACAAGACTGTCCTATGCTCTGCCTGTGTTCAGGCATTTTCTGTAGAGTAAACTGGAGTATTATATATTTTCTTTTATGCATCTTACGTGTATATAGACATATACAAGTTTCATTTAATTTTATAATGATCAACAATGGTAAATTCTTACTTATTTTTTAGCAAAACATATCAGTTTACAATACAGCTGTAACAGTGAATATCCTATTTAGGTAATAATGAAAAAAATTACTAGGGTGTGCGAAAGAAAATGATATATACTTACTATGTTTTCTGGCACACCCTTTTATAGTATTGGAACATAATACACATAATACATATCTATATGAAAAATAAAAAAACAAGGCAATAATAATAAATGCAGCAAATGTTTAAGCTTTTTGTAACAGAATATTAAATGGTAATATTATCATTTGGATTGTAACACCATTAACGATAAAGAATTATCACAAATCTTATATGAAAAGTGGAATTAGAATAATTTGTTCGTTTCAAGTAGCTTAAACATAAAACTGTTAAATACAATTAATATATAAAATAATAAAACATCAACAAAAAGTGCTCTATGTACATAAATTTTATTGTCTCTCCTTATTTTATTTTTTTATTTTTTTAAATTAAAGAAAATAATCTTTTGTAATTAATAATGTGCAATGATCACAAAACAAAGGATGGTTTCTTTGTCATGGTTATGATCATGATCTTTTTTTTATTCTTTCCACTGTACTAATTTTTAAGAATCCATGTAATAATTTACTTTAATTATTATGGCGACATCTATACATAATGACTCGATTTATCGAAATTCTTAATTGTTCTTTTGCAGTCATTTTTTTATCAATATTCTTTTGAATATTTCGTTCTATATCTATTGCATAATTATTTTTTCATTCTAGAAACTGTATGTACATGCATATACATATAAATAAATGCTAGCTTTATATACCTTTTAAATATAAATTTTGAAAATTTATTCTCAAAACTAATATTGGAGAAAACTTCTTTATACACACACACATATGATACACTTTTTTTAAAAATAAACTTTCACTTTGTCACAACTTATATAATAAGACCAGTAAATATTAATTCATTGTTTTCTTTTCTTTATATAAACAAATGCTCCTTCAATAATATATTTAAAAAAATATTTATATCATGGATTCTTAAAGATGAATTAAAATAACGCTGTGCATCATAGCTCCAAATAAAGATATATATATATCTGTATCATATATATCTTTATATATAAGTATATATATATATATATATATACAATAATAATAATAATAAAAACAATAATAAATCGAAAAATATCTACTTTCATTATACGTAATAATAAAGATTTGTAAATATTGTTTTTGAATGGAGCTCAACAGACAGCATGCAAAACAATAAAAGTATCTGGGCTAGTAAAAACAAATCACTGTTCAAGTAGTTCCTGGCCGGCGACTGTGCAGAGCCTATAGAAAATTGTTTTACCGTGTCCATCTTCGCCTGTAAGGATGATTTGTCCATCTTGACCTAACGTTGCCTCGGTAACACTGTTTAGATCAACAGCAACGCTAGCACCCTCTGCACCACCTGCCACTTCTGCGAGTGCTTGAACTTCTCCTTGGCTTGTGTGGATCTATATACATATACATATATGTATATATATATACATACGTGCATGTATGTACAAATATGTAAATTTGAACTTAAGTCTATTTACTAATAAAATTAACAAAAATAAAATTCTTTATGATTTAAAATAATACAATAAATAAATCATTGTATATAACTTACAGTAGCTACACCTTGAACTTGAGCTGTTGTACCATCCGGTAACGTTATGATAGGATTACTTGGATCTACTTGAATTATGGACACTGTACCATCAGGATTCGTTATTGTCTGCAACACTGCTGTTGGATATTGTGTCGTCATCTGTAATATAAAAGTTTGAATTATAACATAGATCATTTTTAATTCCTCGTTTACTTTAACTTAATATATAGTTATTTAAAATTTGAGATTTATAACGAGCATGACTTTGATCGATCTAATAAGATGAAATTACAGAAATCAACTTATTGTTTATATCATTAAAAATATTAAATAGTATATATGCGATTATATAATATTAGAAATAAAGTCAGATTAAACTCAAATAAGGGAAACCAAACACATGAACAAAAACATGGCATATCCGCGTAAAGAAATATATCATCAATCTTCATTTCTTTTATCTCCTAAATAGAATTAGGAATTTAAAGAAACAACACGACAATGCGATTAATTAAAATATAAGAACTTAACAATTCAGTTTGAAATTCTCTTAAAAGATATTGTGCAATATAATCAATTCTTATAAATATATATTACGCGTGTTAATATTAGTTACGCATTACTGTTCGAAAATTTCACAAAATGTTTTTCTATCGTGTTGCTTCAAATAATTCCTTTTTCTTTGATACACTCTATCCACTCCCACCTGAGTGGCAGTGGCAAGAGCTGTGGGAGATGCGGCAATGATTTGTGCTGGCGAAGTGTTTCCCTTAGATGAATCCGTGCTGCTGAGGCGAACAACTCCCACCGTCTGTTGTTGTTGTTGTTGTGACTGTCCACTTTGACTCTGATTAGACGAGTGCGAAGGATGAGACGAGGAATGAGGAGTTGACTGTTGTAATAATACGTTAGATTTATCATCTTCTTCACTAAACGCTGGTAGAAGATCTTCTCTTCCATGAAATTTGTAACAATTTATTACTATTTGTCTTAAAGCATGCGTCCAAGAAATCTACAATAATACGAAAGAAAAATGATTCATTTCATTTAATTGATAAATAATTATTATATATATATATTTTAATATATTTTAATATACTAAATATACGAACCTTTTGTTTTTCATCCTCGGAACGTGCATCCATACGAACATTTGCCCAAGGTAATTCTTTTGGCCACCAAGGAGGTCGCGTACTATCCCTTCCCCAACCAGGTTTACCTCTACCTGTAGAATACTTTAACATTAATGGTATGAATGCTCTGAGTTGAGCTTGGGTCATCTTTTCTACAGGCGTTGGAATTCCATCTATTATAAGTGGTGGTAATTCATATAAAGATGGGTCATCCTGAACAGGAGGTGGAGCTTGTTGTGCTAACGCACTTTCAAGTTCCTCCATTATAACATTTCTTAAATTTTTAACTACATCCTCTAAAGGTTTAGCTCCAAAAACTTTGTAGCTACTATTTGGCTTGCCTGGAGTAGCTACTAATACTACTGCTTGTTGCCCAACTCGCGTAGCAAATTCATCTATTGTTTGCTGTAAAAATATTTTAGAATCAATATCAAAAGAATATAATAAAAGACAAATTATTATCATAATTTTATTTATAAAAGAGGAAGTTTATGTATATTTATAATGTCTTACTCTAAGTTTTCGTAAAAGCCTGTTCTGTTGTCTTTTTCTTGTACTGGGGTTAGTCTCAAAACTATGAGGTCGTTTTCTTTTTTTTGCAGAAACTATAGCAGCGGCAGCAGCTACTCCAACAGGTCCTAGAGAAACATATACTCTTGATACAAATGTTTATATTCGATAGTTTACACATAACTCATATGTCAATATAAAATGTTAATTTAGAAAATATTTTCCAAATTATTACAAAGTTTTAGCGATTAATTCTGATTGCATTTAATATATTATATTGACATGTTAACACGTATACATGTAGTGCATTCAAACTAAAGAGATGCATAAGCAATAGTAATATAAAACGTGCTCAAAATCTAAGAGATGTATTACATAATTATATGGCGATCTATATCTTTATTTGTAATATAAATAAATAAAAAAAGAAAAGAAATTGTTGATAAAAAAAGTTACTACCATCTAGCCAGTTGTGCCTATAAAATGAGTACTCTTAGATTTTGTTTGAAAAACAAATAAGATTGCGTATTTACTAACAAGTTCTTTTAATTATTTTCTATCGAAACTTGTGAAAAAAACAATATTTTCTTTTAAATAAATGTATCGTACTACATGTAAAGTATAGTAATAAACTTTAGCAACAATATATAAACGATAATAATCATATAAAAACATAAGGATATCGATCTCTAAACAAAAGAAAAAAAATATGTTTTGCATATGTTAAAAAACGAAGCACATTCTAAGAATATAAGGCGTAAATTAAATAGATGCACGCAAGAAAAATAAAAACAATATAAAATTAAATCAAAATAATAAAATATGATGATAGACTATATCATACTGTTCTGTCAATGACTAAATTTCATTGTTTCTCTTTTTCTTTTTAAAGAGACATTGTTATGAATTAATATACAAAATTAAAACTGTTCATTATTATTGTAACATATGATATGTTATTCGGTAAATTCAGTAATTATTAAAACTTGTATCATTGACAGACAGGCTCCACTTGCATACATCATTTCAAATATTTTTTTTGTTTTACTATACTTTTATGACCTATACCACTCAGTAAAGAGTCTTATAAGATAGTCAATTATATATTCATGATTTCCTGTTTACTTTAATAAATCGAACATCTTAGAAATATACAATTAGATTGAAAGTACGCGAAGAGTTACATAGACTGTTAATTATTTATGGATAATTCAAAAAATAATGTAATGAAATGGATTGTTACAACAGAAAATATATTTACCTTCGATATAGCAGAAAATTGTATATATTTTATTATTCAGAAGATCTGTAGCGATTTTTAATCCATTATATGAATATTTTTTGTATATAATTCATAAATGAAAATGTCATTATCGACATCAATTAAAAATCACTATGTGCTCCGTGAATAATTCAAAATATAATACATCAAAAGTATTATAGTGAAATATAAAAATTATAGTATGGATAGTACTTTTCTAATAGACAGTTTCCAGATTTTCTTTTTAAAAACTTTTGTGAGACTCTTTAAAGAGAATGATCTCTTGTATCTTACACGTTCATCGCTTATTGGTGGTGAAAAGTATCCGAGAGATTAAATGCTAGGTTCCACAGTCAATGATGAACGTCGTTTGTTGCGTTTAACTTGCAAATGGAAGTGATTAAGCCGTATATAACTCAAGAGGTGATAAAGCAAAAAAATGGAAATCACCATTAGCGTTTTTGATTTGCCAACCTGCTGCTGCTAGCTGGGCTGTCACATCATCGTCCATAGCCGCTGTCAAAAGATCTCCTTCTTCATATGTTTCGGACTCACTACTGGGCTCCTCGTCATCGTCATCCGAAATTCTGTCCATCGTGCCAGACTCTGCATTAGGCAGAGAAACCATCTTTTTGTCTTCGTCACCCGTTTTGACTTTTTTATATATTGCAATGGCCCAACAAATGTTATTGTAGATCCTGAGATATTCTTTTACATCACCTTATCCCTAACAGAGTAAAGAAACTTTGAATTAATATTTAATGCATACAAGAGTAAATGAATAAATTAATATATAGAAATTGATATATTAATAATCGGAATTACCATGATTAATATCTTTTGATAAATAAAATGTAATTTTTGATTTGTAGTCATAAAATAATAACATTCATTTTAACGATGATTAATATCAAATGAAAGGAGCATAGAATAAATATATCTTTAATTAAATAATGTCCTTTTCTCATTTTTCTCCTTCGAGAAAGATTAATTTGATCTAATGTGTATATGTTTTGTTAACAAGGAAACTTATGTTAATTACGATCTATATGTAAAGAATTAACAGCTTCATGGTATCATTTATTTCTATTTATTTGCAATACAACACATACAATAATACTTCATCACATATTTAACATACTAATATTATAACATACCATATGTGAAGAAATGGAAAAAAGGAACATACACATACAGAGAGATAACAATGTGTGTGTGACTATAGAATACAATCATAATATTTAATTATCATAAAATGTGTGTGCAAGCATCAAGTTATCTCAAATCAATTTGAAATTTATAGCCATTGTAATCCAACTATTAAAAACATCAATGAAACCAACGATATTAGTATGAGGAATAGTTTCAATATAAAAATAAAAATTGTTACAAGGATATTAAAATTTAATAACAATTGTTTTTTAATATTATAATAATAAAATAAAGTGTAATAGGAGAGAAATAAAATTTTAGATGACTGACTATCACGACTTTATGAATGATATTACAGTTTATAGATCTCAAATATTCTATCTCGAAGGACGCAAAACAATTGAAAAGAAGAAGAAGAAGAAAAAAAAGAAAACAAAACAAAAGACAAGTTATAACATATTAAAAAGAAAACAGAAAGAGGGAAAAAAAGAACACGCACCAACATATATGGCAAGAATTATGAAGTTTGAAATACTAAACTTGTACGTCTATTTGCGTTGGAACACGAAAAATCGATAAAGTGAACGTCATTCGTTTCAAAGTATAGAGGAACATACAACGAGTGGGTACACATCGATTTAAAAAAGAGAAAGCTGAAATTTGGCAATTTACATGAGATACATCGATGTTTCTTCAATGATGATTTTTTTATACCTTCATTTGTTTTTCTCATAGATATGCCAAATGAACTACTACGATGGATACGAAGATGTGAAAATAATAGAAAGAGAAAGAAGAGAGTAGGGAGAGAAAAGCGGTAAATATTTCGCTTGGATATCTTCGTGAGCATTTTTACGTGAACGTACGATACGAGAAATATTAAATATTTCATGGAAATGAAGAGAAATATGTTATAGGTTCTCGTTATCATTAATAGATAAAAGATAAGAATGTATATAGGAAATATATAACGATTCTTTCCGCATCCTATTACGAGATTTGTCATAATCGAGAGTGAAGTGTGGCACGTTAGGTTGACAGAAGAGCGTGTCAATGAAAAGACGTAGTAGAAAGAGAAAGAAAAAGAGAGAGAGAAATAGATAAAAGGAAAATGAAAGAAAGAGAGAGAGAGAGAGAAAAGGCAGACTGTTTCACATGGAGAATAAGAAATAACAAGACGCGTGGAACAGTAGGCTTAGAAGCAACGATGACAGTGGTAACGTCAAAGCAACGACACAATAAAAGCAGAAACAGTGTCAGCAGCAACAGCAGCAGCGGCAACGGCAGCAACAGCAAGAATAGAGTATGGGAAGAGGATGAAGTGGAAAATAACATAGTAGAAAAAGAAGAAGAGAGAGAGAGAGAGAGAGCAGAGAGGATGCGCCAAAAGCCGACACCGCTAAGACGGCGCGTTTATTTTGGGGGGGCAAATGAAAATGCGCAGGGCACACGCAAAAGAGAGAGCACCGTGTCGGGGGGGCCGTGAAGCTCATGACCGAAGAGAAGGGTATCGCGAGCAGAGTCATGGAGCAGGCCCAGTGAAAATCGCGAGTTGCGTACGCACCTTGTGTGTCCCGTGAGTGGTCACCCGGTGTTACACAGGGCGCTTCGCGTCTGCGGGGAGACCGCCGTCGCGGGCTATAACCGCACACGCTCTCTCTCTCAGCAGCACCACCACCACCACCACCACCACGCCCCACGCGAGCGTATCTCGGCGGTCATCGTCGTCGTCGTCGTCGTCGTCGTCGTTGTCGTCGTTGTCGACGTCGTTGTCGTTGTCGTCGTCCACGTCCTCCACCTCGTCGTCGTCGTCTCCGCGATTCTACGCGTGCACTGCGCGCTCCGTGACAACAAAACTTCGATAGAAGCGCGAACTACGATGACAACGATAAGGAATAAAAGGGCCACCGGACGCACCGGATCCGGGAGAAGCCTAACTCGGCCGCGCGCGCGAAAATCTCCTCCTTCCTCTCCACCTTCTCACCACCACCTTTCGTCCTCGCTATTACTCGCGCCTTCTTCGTCGCTCCGCGCCACAACAACGCGCACGACGACCGCCATGGACACCATGGCTAGTTTCGACGGTGGCGGCGGCGGTGGTGGCAGCGGTGGTGGCGGTGGCGGTGGCAGCGGCGGCGGCAGCGTCGTCGTCGACAGACCTATCGATCGGTTCGCCGCCTTCGCTGCTGCTCCTGTCTCCGTAGCTGCCGCCGTCGTCGCTACCTCCACTCTTCCTCCTCCTCCTCCGCCACCACCTTTCCTTCCCTTTCCTTTCCTTCCCTTCCCTTCCCTTCTTTTCTTTTCTTTTTTTTTTCTCTCGCCTCTTTTGCTGCCTGCCTGCCTGTCTGCTTTCTTTTTTGATTGCTCACTCGTCAGGACACACGAGAGTAGCGTAATAATACGAATGTCGTGTACACATGAGGGAAAAGGAAAGAACGCGCCAGCATCGAGGAAGGCGGCCATCTTGAGCGAGCCTGCGCGCTGCACTCCAAGCAGACGATGCAAAATTTACCTTTATTTCGCGAATGCGCGTTGCATCGCCATCCTCGCGCTGCGCAATGACAACTTACGTTACGTTTCCTCCTGAATTTTGACTCAACACTCACCGTTTTCCCGTTAGATTCCATCAAATGACACTGCTGATCCTCGAAACGTGAACACCATATACATGTATACGATTCTGGAATAAAGCGATTGGTTCGAAGCTACGCGATATACGTCATGGTGGCCGCCGTACCTACATTCTCATTGGTGCCTGAAACACGTGACTACATCTTTTCTCTATTCCCTGAAACGATCTCATCTCTCTTTCTCCCTCTGTTCGTTTGCATCGTGTATAACCTACAAATGTGTTTTTGTGCATCTGATATTTATATGTTTGATGGTATTATTTCATTTATTTTTATTAATATTCTTATTTCTGTCATATTCGTTTCTATTTCTTTACTTATAACGGTGTGCGTAAATGCAAGTTTGTGGAATTTCTATTGGCGTAGTATTAGAAAGTTTAAGGTTATTCTAATCGAAATGTCATATTTATAGAGTGTGTACGACAACAAATACTTCATTGTTTAAGTTTGCTTTTATTGAAATATTCGACAATTTAGTAACGTTTTTGTTTTGTTTTAAAGTTTCTATTTAAATGGTGTATATTATTTGATTTTATTTAGTGATAGAATGATTTTTTTATTGAGTGATATTTTTTGAAAGAAATCTTTAAAGTGCACATTTAAAAGGTGGATAAAACTCGTTTTATTCCTTTTTACAGTCATAGCTACAAATGTAACAATATAAAAGTATATTATTAAAAATAATAATTAATAGCTTAAATTGCTTTCGAGCAATTTTACATATCACATCTCAGTTGGGATGAATTACAAACTAAACGCATTGATTTTTGTGGTATTAACCAATTGGATTATAAATTCTCTGCACATTTTATCTTTTCTTTATTTTAAGATTTGTTTCATATATTTCTGCAACAAAATATGAAACTTATATTTTACTTTCTCAATATTTCGAAATAAATGTCAATAGTTTAGTTAATCCAATTAGTTATGAAAATAATACCACTATCGAGAAGTATTTTTAAGCCCAAGGCTTATTTTTATTACATAATTTTCCAAACCACCCAGCATCGCAAAGACAAGTGTTATCAGGTTGACAAGTTCCATTTTTGCAAGCTTTTGTGCAAGTTGATCGTTGTGGTGAACGTCTACCTATCTCACAATGATCGCCTGTAAATCCATTAGGACATCGACATACATTGGTTCCTCTACATTTACCTCCATTTAAACAAGGAATAACGCATTTCGCTAAATACAAATAATTATTAAATTTTAAAAATCATTGTAAATGATATTATACGAATATTGTTAGATGTATAACATCAAAGAAAATTACTTACAGAACTCGCAACGTAAACCAAAGTAACCTTTTGTACACTCGCAAGTATCTTTTTGTACGCATTTTCCACCGTTCAAACATTTTTCCGAACAAATACCTGAAAGAAATATAAATGATAAATATTCATGTCTTCGTAATAAATGTTTTCTTTTTTTTATTACACCCTATTTATGTGCACGTCTTATTATATTACAATTGAGCATAGGATATTATTTGGTGTTAATTGTTTCCAGAATATTGTTGATATTGATAAAGAAAATGCTGCACCTTCGTCAATTTGGAATACGATTACATAGCACGGCTGCTGCAACTTCGACCACTACAGCAGGAAAACGTTTAGATTCTATTCTAAGAGTAGATCATGCTGGAGAGTTGGGAGCAGATAGAATTTATGCAGGGCAAATGGCTGTTTTGGGTATACAAGAAGATTTTTTACAAATTATATTGCATCACGAGTTTCTCCTTGTTTGTCTATCTTAATGCATATTGTTTTAATCATTACTTAAAATAGGTAATACTGTAAAGGGTCCGTTGATTCAGCATATGTGGGATCAGGAGAAAAAGCATCGTGCTAAATTTGAAGAATTAATACGAAAATATCGTGCGCGACCTACGGTATTTACACCTGTTTGGAATATTGCTGGATTTGTTCTTGGTGCTGGGACAGCACTAATGGGAGAGAAAGCAGCTATGGCGTGTACCGTGGCTGTCGAAACCGTCGTAATAGACCATTATAACGATCAATTACGTAATTTAATGGAAATGAATGAAGGGATAGATAAAGAATTATTAGAAACTATTAAAACTATTCGTGACGAGGAACAAGAGCATCACGACAATGGATTAGAACATGGAGCTGAACAAGCCCCTTTTTATAAGGCTCTCACGAATATTATTAAGATAGGCTGTAAAACTGCTATTTCCATTTCTAAAGTAGCTTAAATTATATTAATTTATTCGAATTATGTGATAGTAGATATAAGTATTTGTTATTATTTTAATATCATTTGACGTTTGTTTAAAATAAACTTTTTTGTTTTTAATAGTTATATTAAAATTTGTAAAAATTTGCATACCCCCTTCGCAATAAGGTCCTTGAAATCCTGGAGGGCACGAACATACGCCGGGTGCAGTACAGTTTCCACCGTTCATACAATTTGGATAACAAAGTGCTTTTTTACAGTGCGGCGGCCCTAAATAACCATCCGGACAAGGTCCAGGATTTGGTTCTAAAATTTCAAGAAAAAAATTAGTAAATTAGTAAAGAACAGATACGAAGAAAAACATTTAATTTATTTTTCTTTTATTCTTGTATATATCAAATAAAATATTCAAATTTATTTAATATACTTACCGCGCAAATTGCATTCTTTTCTTAAGCTAAGATGAAGTGGTGTCCCATCCAAAGGTTTACCTTTCCGCGTTTCGATCATTAAACCAATTCCAAATTGTGCTATTCCAGAATTATTTCCAGTACAAGGTAATAAAACGCTAAATTCTATAAGACATACAAAATATCATTATTTTAATATATATTTTGCAGAATTGCACGGATTATGATCTTTACCTTTTGGTCTTTTAGGTACTCGTCCTTGAGTTTTAATCGTAATCGATGGTGTCTTGAGAATCGATTCGTCGAAAGATTTCAGTCGATAAAAGTTATAATAATATTTTTTAGCGCCAGATTTCCACGTAAAATTTACGTAAGATACTTCGCTAGGAATAATTGGCAACTTATTTTCAAGTTCTGGATCCAAAAGGTATGATAAAACAATTCCCTCCGAGATCACATAGATCTCCATCTCAATACCTAATCAAAATAATAATTGGATGATTGGAAAAAGAAAAAAGCAAATCATAGATCCGAAAAAAAGGATCGATGTAATACTGTTCTGTATAGGCATTGAAATCACTGGTTTAATTCTTATCTACTTAGCATTGCGCAGTAAAACATATGCAACATATCGCGTGATTTGAATGCTGTATTCAGCATAAATATATTAATAACATCATCAACTGTGAAGAGATCATAAAGTTCATTTTATACATAAAGAAAATGATTAACGCGTAAGAAATCTTTTTTTTTTTTTCCTAGGACACATGCATAAACTTAATTAAAAAAAAATTATTTTCAAAGTAAATTGCAATTTCGGTCTATACAAATAATCCAAGAAAAATAATTGACAAAAAACAATAAAAAATAAGATATCTTTGAATACAATATTCTAAAAAGTTGTATTTTAGAATAAAATAATGCGATAAAAGAAAAAGCAAATAGCTAATCTTTTCGATAAAAATACGGATAACTCACCACTAAACATTTTGATTTGTTGTTGATCGATCCAAAGCGATATATCACCAGTTACTTGTTTTTGATTATTGTTCCGACGATTTTTACGATTTCTGGCTGTGGTAGTGTCGATAAATGAAGCGATCACCGCCAAACTAAGGGCTACTGTCGCCCACCGCATAATCATTTATGAAGTGTTCCTAAGGGCTCTCTTTTGATCAGGTGTGATTACACGCGCCTTTCCTAAGTTCTTCTTCACCCTCGCCCTTGTCCTATTCCCTTTCTCAGCTTGCCCGCACGCGACGCACGCACGCACGCACACACACACGTACGTACGTACGCACGCGAGCGTGCTTTCTCCTTTCTTGTCGAGACGTGTCGTCGTCGTTCTGCTGCGATCGTATAGCGATAACGATTATGGTGATCCGTCGTGATCGTGGTCGTGGTCGTGTTCGTGGTTGCCGCCCCCGTCGTCGCGCGCGCCTTGATTCGCTGCGTGAAATGGGCTTTTCACGGGTGTGGGMCCCCGGCCGCCACTTCAATAAGATTATCTTGTTAGATGATAACGATCTTCTTCTCAAATAATCTCTTTTATCTTTCGAACAAACTCTCTCTCTCTCTCTCTCTCTTTCTCTTTCTTACTTCTTTTTAGATTTTTGCTGTTGAGATTTATTTCCGTTTATCTTTTGATAAAAATGTTGATTAAAAAAAAAAAAAAAAAAAAAAAAAAAAAGATAGATCCGATCTATCACGATCTATCACGACGCTTCTTGATCAATCGATAGGTACAGTATTTTTATCGATGATACGATCTGTGCACGGATACGAACTTATGCGAATGGACATTTCGCGATATTTCAAAATTGAACGTGTCGAATCGCATCGCAGTCGCCGACTGACTGACTGACTGACCGAGTCAATGGAAAAAAGACCTGGCAGCTGCGGCTGCGGTGGTGAAGTAGTGGTGGTTGTGGTGGTGGTGGTGGTGGCTATGGTGGAACGGCGATTCCATCTTCTCCTCTTCTTTTCCCTTCTCACCATTGGACCCGTAAGAGATCCCTATCTCTTTACGAACTACTCTCTCTTTCTCTTTCTCTTTTTCTATCTCTTAACTCTTGGTCTCTCATGTAGCCTTCTTCTTCTTCTTCTTCTTCACATACGCAACGCATGCAGAATTAGGGAGCACGCACACTGATCTTTTTCTTTTGCAAATATAACTTAGCAAGAATCGTTCCTCTTGTCTCTTAGTTTACACTTATAGAGATATGGTCTAAAGAACTCCAATTTGCATCTTACAATTAGATGTCGTCTGTAGACGACGGCAGACACGAACTTAAAGGGTCGACGTACGAATCTTTCTCGTGTATATATATATATATATATATATATATATATATATGCGTGAACGCAAGTGTAAGTATGTGCACCATTGCACATCGTGTACAACATGCACATGATGGCGTGGCAAATTAGCACCGAAATTAAATTCAATAAGAGACCTTACCGAAATTAGTTGTTTGTTCATTGTTAATAATGTAACTTTTAAATGTGTGATGATCGTAACAATCGATTATTTTATTCGAAAGAATTCACCTTTAGAAAAATATTTAAATAACAAGTTTAGTTCAGATGATGATAGTTATTGATTTAACATTTAAAGAAATATAAATATAGTTTGTAGTTTGGATTGTGTTATGTTGACTCTTAAATGATCCCCGTCCCCCCCCCCATCGAGAAGACGAGATAATTTAGATTGAACACACAACTATAAATGCAATACCCCTGGAAGGAACAAGGCAGATGAACCTTTTCTGATGTATTATATTTTACGAGCGCTATTCAGTGGATGGTTAATCCTTTTCGTTTCTGAAAGTTCACATGGGAATACATGGAAATTCAGAATTTGAAATAACAAATAAAATGAAAAGAAATTGGTAAGAAGAAACCAGTTTTTAACGTTGTTTCGTCCGAACCTTCCTTTCGTATCTTTCTCGCTCTTCCGCTTTTATTTTCTATTCTCTTTTTGTTTTATATATATATCTTTGAAATATTTCTCGTGTAATATATAAATAAATATAAAATATGTTCTTCTCCCCATTTGCAAACAAATTTCTTGCATTACTTAAATCTCAACATCAGAATTTTATATTCAAGTTTCGTGAATTTAATGGATCCTATAATTATAACAAAATTTGATTGTACTGTTAAATATATATATAATAATTTTAATAGACGACAATTGTTCACGCATGTCTTTCACCATTAAAGTAATAAATCTATTACTCGTGCGAGAACGTAACGACCTCGGAAGAGAAATTATTTTCAACGGTGCACTTTGTCCTGTCTGTCTCTTCAGAGAGAGATTTCTCTTCTTCTTCTTCTTCTTGTTCACGTCCTCTTCCTTGTCCGGTAGAACTAACTGAACGTTTCCACGGTCGTTTCACGAGCCGTTATAAAAGGCTGGCTTGTTAGACGAGATGCTCTTCCACGTAGGAGACATGCACCGATTTTACACTTCGTCGGCAAAACCGCGAACATTTTTCTCGCCTCGATGGAAAATACAAGAAGAAGAAGAAGAAGAAAAAGAAAAAGAAGAAAAAGAAGCTACGAAACTTTCGTTCAAACACAAACGAAGGATAAATTATTATGATCATTTTTCAAATCGTAACCAACTCACAAATGTTCGTCGGTTTTCATTTATATATATTATATTTTTAAAATATCATTTTTTTATAGTAATAGAATTCAATTAATAGAATGATCGTCATTGTAATTAAAGTTTAACGTTATTTTCATTAATCATAATGCATCGTCAGCCCATGACAACAGCTCTTGGCAATGATCTAGCGAAATAATCGTTGTGTATTATCCTTGTTATCGAGCAATCTCAATCTATCTTTATGAAGCCCTCATCTCTCTCTCTCTCTCTTTCTCCCTCACCCCCCCCCAAAAAAAAAAAGAACAACCTACTCCTTCTTCAGAGAGATGATAGATCCTTTAAAGTTAATTCGAAGGTAATCTTACAGATGGATGCCTTCGATCGCGACTACAATATTCTTGATTCCAATATACCGGTATAGGTGCGTGCGTGAAGAAGAAGAAGAAGAAGAAGAAGAAGAAGAAGGAGAAGAAGGAGAAGAAGTTGAGAATCGTGTGCAAAGAAAAGAGAAGAACGTCACGAATTGCTTTGTTGCCAAGTCCTCGTCTCCGATGGATTCCCCTACAGGTGCTTCGAGATAAAACCCACCTCTTTCTTTGGATACAACAAAAATATATATATTTTTTTTTTTTATATCAAAAATTATTAATACGCAAATATAAAATATGAACGTTTGTTAATTGGAAACGATCGTAGATCGTCATCACCATCATCATCATCATCATCATCATCATCATCGTTACAGAGCTTGAAAGTAACAAAAAGAAAAAAAAAACAAACATGAAAATATATTTTGTAAATATTTAAGGAAAAATTTGGTATAAAGGAGAAAATTATAGAGGAATATTAGGAACATCAGGCAAGAGATGAGGACGACGACGACTGTGTAGGCGAGGAAAAGATTTATTATCGTATATTTCGATTTATTTTAATTTTGGTTAGAGACAGGTCACAGGAGAAGGTTTCGAAGATAAAGTAGACATCATTCTTGTTAGAAGTGAATCCTCTCAATCAGTATCTGTAGAAAACAGTTAAGATTGTATCGAATCTTTTTCTCCCTCTCTCTCTCTCTCTCTTTTTCTCTGTCTATGAGAGCAAACGATCGAAAGAAGCATGTTCAATGAATAGCCAATAATAGTGGCCATTGTATTTTGACATTCGAATGGTTGGTCGTCTTAACAAATGGTCCATTGTAAACCCCTCTGAATTTCTTGCCGTTTTAACTTCTTCTTCATCTTCTTCATCTTCTTCCCCTTTATTTATTTTTTTTTCTCTTCAGGATTTGTAGCGAATTGGGTAGGCGTGGAGTGAAATTTTGATGAAAGAGGAGGGAACAATTTTGAAAGAATCATCGCTATGCCTTTCAAGAAACTAAGGGTTTTTCTTTTGTATCCTTCGAGATACGCTGGTTAAACATGACGACTAGGAGAGACGTGAAAATTATTTCGAGAATCGAGATTTTACGTTTATTTACGATCTGTAAACATCGTAATAAAAAAAAAAAAGGAAAAAAAAACATATATAATATCGAAATTAACGTTACAACACCATTGTGTACACCGTGTCCTCTTGCTGAGAGAGAAGAGGAAAAGGATAGAAAGGAAGAAAATGAGAAAAAAGATTCTGTCTCTTTCTCGAGTTGTGATCATATCGAGAAAATACAAATAAATCTATTCCGAATGACTTCAAATGGTTCCTTGGGGCCTACAGGTGTACACATTTTGTTTCAATTCGAGTCCACTTTCTTTCGATTGAAACGTTCACACTTTCCATTAGTTTGAGAACCCATACATAAATATAATATATACTTATGATATAATAATATACATTAAGTTTTTAATATATAAATGCGTGTAATAAACGTCAGGAAAAATATTATATTATGACGAGTTAAAAGTAATATAACCGATTGAGCTTCCTTCTCCGCGAGATGATGACGAACGGCAATGGATCGTGGTTTACAGAAAAAGAATTTTTTTTTCGTTTTTTTTTTGTTCTTTTTTTTTTTATATCCATTCTCGTAAAGAGCCAAGGATATATACTCTCTCATTTTAATCCTGTTTCTCTTTCGATAAACGTTCCCCCTTTATCTTCGTCGATTTCTATGCGCAGAAAACACTCACCACAAAGTGGTGCTCGGGAGAAAGAAGAAGAAGAAGAAGAAGAAGAAAGAGGAGGAAGAAGAATATATGAGAAGAAAGAAAGAGAAAGAGAGAGAGAGAGAGAGAGAGAGAGAGAGAGAGAGAGAGAGAGAAGAGAAATATGGTTGTGCTGATGGTGAGGCGGGGAAAGTGGGAAGAGGGGGTTGGTATGATGGGATGGGGGAGAGAACGGCTGTTCTCTGGAGATCAAGTTAGAGTACCGGCACAAAAAACCTGTCCCGCATAATTACATTATCGGTCACATCTCGCTCGACTTCTGTCCGCACGACTGTCTCAAGCTTCTGTTGTATCCCCTCTCACCACACCACTGCCAACTCCCCTCTTCCAATTTCTTTTTTTTTTTTTATTTTTCGTCTCTTTTTTACTTTCTTTTATTTTTTTCTGTGTTTTTTTTCTTCTTCTACCACCCCTCTTCTCAAAAAGGCGAAGAGAATATAACGAGGAGGTTGGGGAGCCGTGAAAAAGGCTGCAGGGGGTCCTAGATACGATCTGAGAACAGAACTATGATTTATTTTTTTTTGTTCTGTTCTTTCTTTCCTTTTTTTTTACCACTACTGTTATGCCCCCTGCCTTCCCACGCCTCCTATTCGAAACTGATACAAACGAGCCTTTAAGTGATCCCCTTTACTGTTCTTTTTTTTTTTTTTTATTTTTTGTTTTTGTTTTTTAGTTCTTTTGTTAATTCCTAGTGAGAATTCGAAAACGCGCGCGTGTGTGTGTGCGCGTGTGCCTGTAAATTTGATTAATTGATTAGATTTGATTTCAAATTTTTTGACGTATCCATGCACATTTATGCATATCTTGTAATTTCTTGTAAAGAAAAAAAAAAGTAGTATATATATATGTTAGAATGATTTTTTTTTTCTAATATAAATTTACATTTATACGAATGAATTACAGTTTTTGAATATAGGATATTTTTTATATTTAAATTCGGTAAAAAGAAAAAAAGAAAGGAAAATTGTTAGTAAGAATTTACAAAACGAGAAAGTGGATATACACGTGCGATATTTTACCTTTACAATTTGACAAATATAAGAATAGATGTAATGATATGATGATGATGATAATAATAATAATTTCGTTTGTAGATTTTATTTATTTCTTTTTTTTTTTATTTATTTATTTATTTTTTTCTTTTCATTGACATGGGAGATATTGTACGGACGTACGTTTGGAATGCGCATTTCGAAGTCGCGGGAAAACGAATAACTTAAATATTAAAATGTATTATCTCTACGAATTACATAACGAATGTTTTTCTTCATAATTTTCTTCTTTCGTTCTCTCTTCGTTTATAACATAATATTATTATTATTTTTGATAATAATCGTTGCTCTTTACAAAGAAAAATACGACAAAGGAGAGAGAGAGAGAGAGTGAGAGAGAGAGAGAAAGAGAGAGACAATACACACAAATTGCGTTATAATAAAAGTTTCTTTATAAATTGTTCTAATTCATAAGAAATAATTATAACAAAAGGGAAAGAGAGAGAGTACGACGGATGATTTGTTTTGATAACTGTTCTGACAATACTCCTCTCTCTCGCGTGCACATTTGTTCTTGTTGTTTGTTTTTTGTTTTATATCGGAAAACATTATTGTTATCATTATTATTATTATTATTATTATTATCCTAATTATAATAATTTAATATACAGTGACAATATGTTGATGACGGATGAAGCGCATGTTAAGAACAAAAAATATGCATCGAACTTTCAATTTTTTCAGTCGGCGTTACGCTTGTTTTATTATTTTCTTTCTACGAATAATAATTAACATGCGTTTATCCAATCTTTATTACGATGAGAATACTATTCAATAATAAGTCGTACATTTTTATATATTCAATTGCATAAAACAAAGCGAAGGAATAATAATAATCTGTTAGTTTCTATAATATAACGTTTTCAACTTCGTAACAAATAATATTATTATTATTATTATTATTATATGCACGTGGATAAGATTAAACATTACAAACGAACAAATAAAAATGAAATAAAAAGAAAAGAAAAAAAAAAAAACACGTATAAATCGTTAGCTCGCTGTAAAATAATACGCGTCTCTAACGTAAAATCTGACTCGCGCGTTCTCTATCTAGTAAATATAAATTTCCTTATGCGAGCATTGATGTTTCTTCGGCGCAACTTTATAACAGTGCGATTGTAAACTTCGGAATACATATTAATCCGTCTTATAAAAGAAGGGGTTGGGGGTGGGGCGTGAGGCATTAAAAAAATAAGAAAAAATGGTTCATGCGTTATAAAAAAAAAGAATAAAAAGTATAAAAAAATTCGATAAATCGTTTATATACTGTCGGCGCGTGTGTGTGTGTGTATATACTGGAAGTTTACGCAAATATAATGAAATATTTTTAATATACATTCGTGGAGATTCAAAGTTTTGTTCTTTTTAATTCTATTCAGATAGATAGCTAGATAGATAGATAGATAGATAGATAGATAGATAGATAGATAGAGAGAGAGAGAGAGATAGAGTGTGAGATTCCTTCGAAAAATATTTACGGGGAATCAGATATAAAATTATATGTATATATATTTATATATTAAAATCATGAAAAAACGTATTTTATAACTATTAATAATCGTATGACTTCGACGTCGACCGTATTAAAAATACGCCGCTTTGACTAACAATGGAAGTAATATATCAGAAATCAGTACTCTTTATGCGATACATATATATATTTCTATTAATCATTATCTTTCGAATTAACTTGCCATTTAAATAATATTATTATCTGTAATTAGTGTCATTTTGTATGATCTTTTTTATATACACGATAGGTTTTCTCTCGTTTATAATGCACCCGCGTATACAATAATTGTTTCATTTTGTATTTTCGACGTCAAAGTCATTTGTACAGGATAATCGGCAAAAAAGGTCCTAACAAATATCTTCTGATAAAAACATTTTTAAAGTGCAGCACCAAAGAGGATATTTCTTTTCTTTTCTTTCTTTTTCTTTATCGGTTAAAATATGTTGATAAATCTTCGACGTTTATTTAGTTCGGAGGCAAAATTGTACCATGTTTTTATCTTTATTTTATTTTATTTTTTTTTTTTTTGATAAGCTGAAATATATATCTTATTTTGAAGTAGTATATTATATATTTTATTTCTTTTCTTTTATGAATTATCTCGCATTTCTATAATTATTATACATTTTGTACCGTTTTTTTTTCTTTTTTAATCTCTCTGCCTTTGTACCTAACATATTTGCTCGTGACACATATTTGCAGACAACCTGTACGCATATTTTCATTGAAACGTACTAATTCAATAACCTAAATTAATTAATTAATTAATTAATTAATTGTACATGTACTCTCAAAACAAAAATAACAAGTCGTTCTAATTCTCTTTTAAATACTCAGTATACTATAATAATATAATCAAACATAATAGTATTACTTAAAATAGTTGTCCTTGTGTTCTTTTTTTTTATATTCTTGTCAGATCTTTTATGTCATCTTCTTGTTTATTAATATAATTGTCTCTTTAATATATTCTCAATACTTCATATATATATATTAATTAAATAATAAATCTTATATTATGTCTCTCTTGGATTATAATATAATCAATCTTGCGCTAAATAAAGAAATAAGTTTTGTCGACATAAAAAAAAGTCTTATCTTAACTAGAGCATGTTTCACATACAAAAAGCAACGATTAGAGGCCTTGTGATATCTAACACTATAGTGCATTTGTGTGTATGTGTATGTGTGTACACATTTTGTTAATATTATATTAAATATGTTTGATACAGTTTTTGTTTTATTTTTATTTTTATTTTTATTTTTAGTTTTTAGTTTTTTTTTGTCGTTTTTTAATATATTTTCGTTTTGCTCGTATCCGTGATCAATGTGCAAGTGCACAATAATCATAGATATCATTAGTAATTTCAATAAATTTGGCCCTCTGTCTGCAGAGTAAAAATTGATTGTGTTATCTAAAGACCTTTAGAGAAAGAGATCTTCCTTAAGAAGTAACATTCAGTCGAGGCCAGATTGTGACGCAGCTTCTATCTTGTTTTTTTTTTTTTAATATTTCCACCTAGTCTTGTATAATAATAATAATAATTGTAATAATATAATAATAACATTGAGAAAAAAATTATTTCCATATTAATTAGACGACATTGGTGTTAGATAAGTATTTTGAAAAATACTACAGGCTAGTTTAATTTATCACATTGTGGATGCTTCCTTTATGTATATTATTTCGGTAATATTATAAAGATTTGTTTCTTTTTTTGTTTGTTTTGTTCTTTGAACACATAAGACGTGAGGCAAAATGTTAGACGATATATGCAATCCTGAAAGTATTTTGTTGTTGTTTCATCCATATATACATATACAATCGCAATCCGAATAATGCAAACACATTTTAGATACCCTGTAATAAGCTAAAGTGTCTGCTTTCAATCTAGCCTTGTCAAATATCACCACAGATATTGGATTAGTTTCTATAGTTCTATTTTCATAAATAGCTTGCACGCTATGAAAACATCTATTGTCTTTGGGTTTTACAACTGACCAGAGAGAAAGAGAAAGAGAAAGAGAAAGAGAAAGAGAGAGAGAGAGAGAGAGAAAGAGAGATGAATTAAATAAATTTACAACTTGCGTTATAATATTATATCGTATGTGCAAATGTATACACATTTTGGTAATTTTAATTTTATCAACGTATCTTTAAATTTTTCTTTAAAGAAGATTCTCAACTATGCCGTACAATTTCTGTTTTCTTTCTTTCTTTTTTTTTAAACATTTTTTGAAGATTTAAAAATGAGTTTTAAATTTATTTCATATAATCTCTTAATTAAAATAATTCAAAAAAAAAAAAAGAAAAAAAAAAAAGGAAGGAAATATAACTTTGATAAAGCTATATATGTATGTGTATGTATACTTTTAAATTTTGTTAACAAATCTTCTTAACACGCACGAAAATTTTCATGAATTTTTGTCTCTAAAGTTAACTATAAAACCCAAAAGCAAATTCTAAATTGGCAGTATAGTGTTGGACATTGCGCCCAGCGCAAAGTGCATAGCGAAATTGCTGCAGCATGTAAGGATTTAGTTTATTCCTTACCATGACTATGATGAGAAAAGATCTTTTATCTTGTTTTTTTTTTCTTTTTCTTTTTTTTTCGTGAGATATTTAGAGAGGTTACACGTACGTAGCCATAGTTCCGGTTGGAATGGACGGTGTTTCCTCTGGTCTGCCTTTAGGACCATATTGTCCAATGAATGATCCGTCTTCTGTGAAAGGCCCTATAAATCATAAACATAAACAACATTGTAAAAAAATCACATTTACTTTTATGTTTTAAATAACATTTTGAAAAGTAATGAATAAATGTGTTTTAATGTGAAAATTAAAACAATTGCTAAAAGAAGCATAATATAATGCAAATAAAACGTGACTTTACCTACCTTACACCAACGTTGCAAATGCTTGTGAATTAGGTTCTGGTTTACGATGCCGACCATATTGACCAATGAAAGATCCATCTTCGTTCATACCCTCTGTGTTAAATTAAGCAACAAAGCAAATAAAATGAATGTAATAAAAATAAAAAAAATATATGAGCTATACAGAAATAAATGCAACATCGCGTAAACTATCTTGTTATTAAATCGAACGTAATTCGTTTAAATTGTGCACAAGCTGGCAAATATAACGTAGCTTATAATAACATTTTTTGCTGATCAAATAATATTTATCGCAAAAGTAAAAAGAGAAATAAACAAATTGGTATGTAGCATGCTTTGTTTTTTATATTCTACAACGAAATTATATTTTATATATAAAAAATAAATATTTAATTAAATAATTTTTATAGCATTATATAAAAACAAACCTTCTCCGTATTCTGCCATAGAATCGGTGTCAGATTCTGGATGTTTTCCATCTTGATGAGAAGATGAAGCTAACGACGCACGACCACCGGCAGATTTGGTATCCAAAGGTTGAGAATATTCGTGGAAGCCACCTTCATCAGGATAATCTCCTCGTCCAGCGGCTAATTCACGTTCGTGTACTGCATACTTTCCACCTCTGTTTCGTTTAATTACGCAGACGATAATTAAAACCAGTAGAAGGAATGCTATTGCTAACATCATACCTGGATAAATTATCAAACATATTAATACACGAATGCACATATTTATTTATTTATTATTTTGTTGTATCTTTAAAGTATTACCTATAAACCACCCAGCTGTTGCTACATTTTCTTTAGGTTGAATTATTGGGCCTTCGCTACTGGTTTCTATCTCTTGAGGCACGCTTTCAGTTACATAATCCCCATCAACAGCAACTACAGACATAACATAGACTTCACCGCTTTGAAGTCCACGAACCTATATAAAAAAGAAAAAGAAATATAATTAATTTTGTGCTTATTAAATGGTTTTTACATATAATTATAATTACTTACTTCAATCGTGTTCGATTGAAATTCCGGATCCGTTTCAGTAGCAATTGTTTCACCCTTTAGATTATATTTAACAAAGAAGTGACTACCAGGATTACCATTTAAATTTGGTTGCCACATAATCCTTACATTGGAATAACCATTTTCTTTAGGAATTGTTTCCCATGTAAATTGAGGTACGTCTGGTCTTTGAGAAGTACGTGTCCTTTTTTCTATGAAATAACTATGAGGGGCAAAAAAATTATTACTATCTATCGAAAAAATTCATGTATTTTATTAGATAAATTAATTTGAGGTCAACGAAACTTACTCGTTTCCTTCGCCAACTTTAGTCGTAGCTCGAATGTGGACTCTGTATTTGGTATCAGGTGCCAAAGCTGCTAATTTAGCACTAGTAGCTTTTGGATCTGATATATGTGGTTTTCTTTCTAATAATGACTCTAATCTCGTTCCATTTACAACCCTATAATAAATTCTGTAGCCAGTTAAAATACCATTTGGTTCGGCAGGTTCCGACCAGACGAGAAAGAGCGCACTAGAACCCATTGGGAAAGCTTCAAAACTAAGTACTGTTCCTGGAACACCTTCTGGTGTATCAAAACTTAAGGTTTCAGATGGAGGTCCTACATATCTGTATATAAAAAAAACAATGGATAAAAAATGATTTATTTATTTACCCAATTGTTTAATTAAGAGATTATATGTTTGAATATTTTAAATTACCTTCCATTGTAAGCAAGGACTCTGACAAAGTTTTTTGTATACGGAATAAATTTGTCAACTAAAACGCGCGTCATGTGGCTACCTCTAATATCAATTTCACGCATTCCTTTTTCACCTTCTTTCTCCGTCCAAGTTTGAATTTTATATCCTTTCAACTCGCCTCTCACTGACTCTTCAGGGACAGTGTTCCATGAGAGCACAGCAGATGTACTGGATTTGATTGTAACCAAAGTAAAGTTTCCAGGAGCTTGTAATGGTACATCCTCTCCAGAATATCCATATACTTCCTTGGCTTCAGCTTTACTTTCTCCTTTCTCATTAATTGCAATAACTTTAATTTTATATCGTTGATAAGTTGGTTGATTTTCTATCGTAAGACTGTGCTGTTTCCAATCATTAACATCTATTATAGTCCATTGTTCTTCAGGTCTATCCCTTTTATAATATACTCTGTACATAAATCTTGGTGCATTATGTTCTATTTGCGGTAATGTAGTCCAAGAAATGACAAGATTTTGAGGGGTCGTTCCATTACCCATGACATTATCTGGATTACGATAAGGAACATCCGACAGAGTTGTACAAATGTCACTGTGTGATGAAGGTAAAGATTTTCCTATTTTGTTCCATGCAAGTACACGGAATGTGTAATTAGCCCAAGGCGACATTGGCACACTGTAACTTTGTTCTGTAGCTGGTACAAAATCTGCCGATGTTTCCCACGTATCCGGGGTAAAACTTGTATTGTATTGAATAGTATATCGTAAAATTGGAGCTCTGTTATCACCCATAGGAGTCCATTGTATAATCGCATTATCAGACATACATTTAACACCAATTAATTTAGGAGCATTAGGTACATCTTGAACAGTCAACGTTGCTTGTGCCCTCGTTTCATCTAATTCGGTACGAGCAACGCAAGTATAAGTACCAGAGTCTAATTCTGTTGTCTTTGTGATCATTAATGAATAATCTGTACTTCGTACAAATCTTGGTTCCATTTCAAAATCAATTGGTTCGCCATTACTCAACCATTCTATCGTTAAAGTTAAGCTAGAATCAGTTACTGCATTGCATCTGTAAAATAAAAATAAAATAACATAATATACAAATAAATGCATGTAATACACACATATCAATAAATAGATATATTATATACCTAAATGTTGCAGTAGAACCTGCTGCAACTTCATAATCTTCAGGCTCATCGGTAATCTTTGTACGCTCTTTCACAACAAGATTTGCAGATGCTTCCACTGTTCCCAACTTGTTAGAAGCATGACAGGTATAACTACCTGCATCTATGAATATTATATTTTCTATTTCTAAATCACCATTATCCATAATCTTATATCTTCCTCCCGTTAATTCTTGACCATTCCTAGCCCATTTAACTATTGGTTTTGGTGCTCCAAATACGCGACAAGTAATTCTAACTGTTTTGCCTTCGACCGTTGCTTGGTCATTTGGAGGTTGAGTGATTTCAGGTTCAAGAGCTAAGACATTAACGTATACGTCTTTGTAAACATATCCTAAAGAATTGGTGGCATTGCATCCATAATTTCCAGTATCTTTCTTTTTCAATTTTTCTATAATAATAGAATTAGTAGTAACTTTTCTTCTTTCGTTAGGAGGTGCCTCTGATATTGGTTTTCCATTATGAATCCATTTGATGTCTGGTTCGGGCACACCGCTTGCCTCGCATCTAAATTCAACAGTTTCATCCTCTGCTGCATTTATGATCTCTGGTTCTACCGTGAAATATGGAACTGCCATTACTTGTAAATTTATAGAATACGAATTAGCATCTCCAACGCCGTTAGACGCTTCGCAACTATATGTTCCTTCATCTTCAAAATTGACATGCTTTATAATTAACGATTTCCCATAATTCCCTTGTATAATTCTATCATTTGACTGTATCAATCTGCCATTTTTACTCCAAACGGTTTGCGGCAAAGGCGTACCGCCGTATATACAATATAATTCAATTTTTTTACCGCGTAGAGCAACTTCATTTTTTCTACTAACGTATTGCTTAACAGGCTCGTGTTTATTCTGATTAGAAGATGCTCCGGTTGAAATAACATTTAATAAAACTTTGCTGCCTAATTTATATTCGTTTCGGAATAGAGAGGTTGCCGCGCACACGTAATAAAAATCGTCAGACGCGTCGTTCCTCGTAACATTGCTGAACCAAAGATTTCCTTCAGGATCTAACGTCATACGAGAATTATTAATCGATTTAATTGCACCAGCTGTATCTTGAATAAGCCAATACACATTTGGTTTTGGCCACCCATCTGGTGGTTGGCACGTTAATTTAAATGGTTCTCCTTCGTAAGCATGTAAACTTATTGGAGTTTGATCTTTAAATGCATTGAGTTCTGCTTTACGAACGAAAACAGAATTGGACGTAGCTATTCCCCATTCATTTTCTGCAAAGCACTGGTACTGTCCTAAATCTTCATCTCGAGGTCTTGCTATGACTAAAGTGCCTCTTCCTGGTTGTTGAGAAATACGATCATCATATGCTGGCCATTCAAAATTCTTTCCATTTTTAATCCATCGGTACCTAAATTATTATTATTAACATTAATATACTTCATTTTTTATAAACACACATTCTTCATTTGTATTTTTATTTAATTTACGTTTTAATAATTAAAATATTTATTTATTATTAAATTAAAATTTATTTTCCTACATATTCAACGCTATTATAAATTTTATCATATACGATATTGATTACATTTGATTATATTAATTTTATAAAAAATATGGATAAATTTGGTTACTTTTAATATCTATGTAAATTGATTAAACTAAATATGAGTCAGCTTTTAGTAAAAGTAAAGTATCTATCAGTAGTGGTAACTTTATACCCCTTTAGGATATGAGGTCATACTAGTAATTAAGACCAGTTACTCTGGCTTCTTAGCAGAGTAGGAACCTTAGTTTTAGTTAAAATAAGATCTAATTTTATGAATGAAATTCATATATAAATGTATTTTTGGATTTAAGCTTGTATTAGAAACAAAAAAATCAGACTCACTTTGGTGCAGGTTCTCCTTCCGCTTCACATTCAATCAAGAAGGGTTTATCATTATTATTGACCTTAGCTTGAGCTACTTGGAAAAGTTGTTCATCTGTAGGAGGCTGCTTGGATATCCGTGGTGGAGACTGAACTGTTAATTTATATCAAATTTATATTAATAAAAATTATATATTATTAATATTTTTACAAGTTATAAATATGATACATATTCTAAGAAATATATAACAATGTACATCGAATATAAAAATATTGTAGGATGTAACACAATGGAATGTAAAAAGGTTTGTGCCGTTGTGAGGATTCTTATTTGTATAATTTTATGCTACATCAAATTTGTGTTGTATATCATGTATGATTCAACATAATATATAGGTTGTATAATATAAATAAACCAATATATAAATACATAAATTCAATTAATATAAGATTTATATTCATAATGTACTTTGCTATGTACACAATATTTTATGATATAGATCAGGTCTATGGGAGTAACATTTATATTATATAAATAAGAACGGATAAATGATGAAATATAAATTTGATGATTCGATAAAATAATTTCTTTTTATGCTTCACAATTACATAGCAAAAATCTTTCTAAATGCAATTAGCATACAAGATGTAATAAAGCAAAGAAATATAAATGATCGAAGATTATATTTTGATTGGAGAATGTACACCTAAATTGATAGAAATATTACATATGAATATATATGTGCAATGTTACATTTAAAAAAAAAAAAAAACAATTATATCAAATTATTCGAAACGTTTGAAAAATTTGATGCAAAATATTAGATGTTACAGCAAAAATGAGATTTTACATATAACGAATTTTTACAAATTTGTTTTCACCTTCTACATTATCCGGGATACGAACTATAATTAAAAATCAAAATATATGCACATTAAATAACTTGTTTGGAATTGAATCCTTATCAAATTAAATCGAAAGTAAGCATTCGTAAGTGTAATTTTATACTCACTTATAGCTGATGATTGCAGTACAAATGATATGACTATGAATACAGCTAATCTCGTCATGGTTGCGTCTTGTATTTTGTATCTGAAGAAAAAAAGTAAAATATATTCTATTAGAAAACGTTAAATAGAAATAAAAATCATGAATACAAGAAAAAAAAAAGAAAAAAGAAATAATTGTTTAATAGAAACATTCTAATACCTCTTTTGTAATCCTTTGAGAATTAAATTACAAAATTATTGGAACTAACGATTTCAATTTTCTTCTTTACAAAATTAATGCAAAATAGATTCATAAAAGATTTGTAAGAATTAGGAAACGTGCGAAATCTATATCTTTGCGAGAATACAATTAGAATAAGCGTAGGGGTTGTTCTGTCGATTAAAGTCACTACTATGTAAAAGTAGATCAAATTATCAAGAGAGATGTAAAAATTAAAGAGAGAAAAAGATAAAAAAGGCAGTTTAAAAAAAAAAAAAATAAAAGCGTATCAGTTAGGTCGCGAAGAAGACTGGGCGTACTCTAGGTAATTAGTAAGGTTTCTCTCTCTCTCTCTTTCTTTCTCAACATGTGTCATACTATTTAGGTAGGCTGTGTTTTGTACTAGGCTTCGTGTATAAAGGGAACAAAATAGAGCACAGTTTAATCGATCCACGTTCTTCTGCTGAACATACAACACACCTCCTACAGATATTACGAAAGTTTTCATCCAAATGATTTTCAAAATTCTATCTCAACAAAGTATTCTATAAAAAGGAATGCATTCATACGTATGGAAAATGCAAAGAATTTCTACGATGATCTCACCGAACATGACGTCCTTCGAAATCATAAAATAATCGTATACAAATCATTGAGAAAGTGTACGACTCGAAAAATTATTGTAATACTTTAAACGCAATTTGAATTCTGTATTTGTTCTATTATCATATATATGACTAATATCAATATCAATGTGATATTAATCATTGTCACGAAAATATTTCCCCATTTGAGGTCAGAAGGATAAAAAAGGAAAAAAAAACAGTACAAGTCAGTGTAGACAAACGGGCACACCCGCGATGCTGTAAGCTACGAGAATCGATCGTCGATGCTGTCTACCGTTGCTCTTCTTTCCTATGTTAAATGGCCAACACCCATACTTTATTTCTCATTCTAAATATAAATAGTAATATTCTAAGAATCATTTTGATTGAATTCAACTCACCGATCCAGACGTTAAGTTGCTTTTTAATGCACAAATATCCCTGTCATTACCACGGCATTATCGAAAACAAACGACTCACGCACTGAACGTACCGTACGGTACCGTACCACTGTACGTGTGCAAGTTACATCTACACTAACATTATTTACCCCTACTCTTCCTTCGTTTCTATTATATACGTTCACTACTACTTATATATAAAACACCGTTCACGCCGATGCGTTCCTTGTTCGCGCATGCGCAAATAATCCTCTCCGATCTCTTTCTATATGAAAAGGTGGAGTACTCTGAAGTTAGTCGTCAAATATACGCAATTTTAAAAAGTGTGGGAATTTTAAAAAAGCGCGCTATAAATTGAATCGTTTCAGATATTATCTATGATAGAAGTATATTTAGATTTATTTTAAAAGATTTGTGTGTGTGTGTATTGATAATAATAAGATGCTATTGTTGAAAATCATTTTGTTGTTCTACGATTTATGGTCATGTTCATAAATGTGATCATATTTGGCTGTAACGGATGATCCGTTACGAGAGTCGCTTACAAATGATCACGTTTGTCTTTCAAGTCGCGAAAGTTTAGATGATAGATAACATTCGTATCTATATTTAATTATTTCTAAGGAATTAAATATTGTTTAAGATTAGGTGTATTGTTTAAATAATAATTCGCGCGCGCGCGCGCGAAGAACAATGATTTTTAACCATTCAATTAAATATGATTATTGATATACATTGTACATGACCTAAATAAGAAAGATTATTTACAGGTAATACTTAGATAATATACATATACATATTTTTCTTAGACTACTTGGAAATAAAAATGTCTTTAAAACATGCTATCTAGACTAAAGGCAGTTTAGCGAAGATTTTCAAAAAGATCAGTTTTCTTTTTGTGGTATTTAGCATCATTGGAAGCAATACATTATAATGATCAATATCAAAGTAACATTGTAGACATCTTGAATGTTTGCAATAAATCAATGCAATTACTACTATTATATACTTTAAAATTTGACCTAACACATTGTAATTGCATCCAATCATAAATACTACAATGTACAAAATTCTTTTAATCACATTATTATTATCATTATTACAATTAAATTATTTATATATATATATATATACGTAAAAAATTATTTAACATTCGCACGTGAACGTAGATTCAATTGGAAAAAAATACGTAATAGTACAATACATTTATATTACGTACAAGGTAAATTATTATCATTCGATTAAAATTCCTCACTATCTAAATATCCTTTTTTATCCGTTCTTATTATCAGAAAAAAATATATATATGTATAATTTCATTATTTAAATCGTATTTCTCAAAAGATATTTCTCTTGCTTATTGCTATCATTATATCATGTGTCTTATAATGTACATAAATTAAAAATTACATACAATCACAATCGATGAGCAATACGTTAAATAGTACTTTTTACCTACAATATTTCAATGAATTATATATATATATATATATATATATATGTATGTATGTATATATCACATTATTATACATTATACAATTTATAAATAACAAAAAAAAATTATTAAAAAATTAAAAAATTATCCTATGGATTAATGTTCCGGAACGGTTTCATTAATATGACGTAAAAAGTATGTTACTTTTACTTGTTCTACATGACGGCAAAGCTTCATGGCTAAACTTGTTCGTAATTTCATATGTTGCGTGAGAGATGGCAAATTTAACAATAAAAAGGCGAGGCCATCTATTTCCTGAAATAATAGAATATTATATTATTTATATCTTACTTAATAAGTTTATTGTTTATAACTTTGTTATTGTAATGTAATAAAGTATGACTTACTTCTTGTTTAACGCGATAAGCGATATCTTTGCAGTCGCTAGTTTTCCGAAGATATTGAAATACGTCATCAATCGTCCAACATAAAGGATTGGAATTAAGTTTCCGTGTTTTTGGTCTTCTTTGTTTTTTTTGTTTTCTTACATATTCAGCATCAGCTTCAGAACAATCAGATTCTATACTTGTGTCCCAATCACGTACTCTTTTACTCCCTCGAGTTGTAGTTACGTTTTGACTAAATCTTGTAAAATGATGTTTGGTACTCAAACTATTAGGACTTCCAGTTCCATTATCTTTTATTTTTCTATCGTTAAATGAACTTCCAGAATCCTCAGAAGCGTTACTCGATGGAGGTTCAGTTTTGAAATCATCTGATTTGTCGGATTTTTCTAAACCTTTTTGTATCATAATATCTATTTCCGAAAGTGGTTGTCTACCATCGAATGTTTCTTCAGGACCATCTGATACATGCTTTGCTAAATCCAATGGCATAAAAGGCATCTCATCTTCGTATTCACAGTTTATTCTTTTGTCTTTGTTAGCCCATCTACCACGTTTTCTTCTACGTTTACTACCCCATTGCTTTGGTTTTTGTACCATTATACTCGTGTAACCTTTTGGTTTCCCTCGTTTTCCTGTTCCCACTGATGCGGCTGTAATTAAATATTGTACAAATTAAATAGTAACAAAGAAACGAAACTACAGATAGATGTGTTCATTAGACTTACTGAATTTAGTTTTCGATGTTTTATGACATTTGTCCGGGCATTCATTTTCTAATACATGCAAGGGCCCAAATAAATTAGGGCATACCATTAATTTTTTACAAATATTTCTACAAAATTCAGCTACCATGTCTCCAGAAGTAACGACAGCAACTTGCGCAAGATAATTATTATTTTTATGCTTTGCTTTTAAAACTTGCAAACGATATCCAGGATCTGGATCAGTGTCACATTGTAATACCTTTAAAATTCTGGCACTTCTGTATCCAACTGACACTATCATAGTTAAAACTTCTTTCATTACTAAAACTACAGGGCCGGGTCCTACAGATTTTGGCAGAGTAGCTAATTTTCCTTTAGAAATCATTGGACCGGTAAAACAACGATAATTAAAATATATTTTAGGACACCACAAGGAAGAGCGTGGTTCTGAAATTGGTATATCTAAAACATTGTTTTTCTTTTCTTGTTCAATATGAGTTTGCATCTTTTTACAAATTTCTATGTAATCCTTAGGGGGTTTTAATGGATAATGATTAGATTCGCACCAACCAACGGGAAATATTTCCAAAGAACTCATATGAACTATGTGTTCTGATTTGTTGTTATCATAGTTATCTAATTTTATCCATAATAAATTCATAACTATTTTGGTAATATGAGCAGCACAGATAATATTTTTATATTCTAGATCGACAGCTTCTAAACGCATGCCGCATTCAAAACCTGCATCTATTGCACTTGGTCTCTCATAAAATAAACTCTCATCTGCTTGTATACTTTCTGTATTCTTTAAGTATTCGTTCCAATCAAATTCTTCGGCAATTGAAATCCAGCCTTCTGGTTTTGTAATTCTATAAGAAATATAAGTGTAAAAAAATTTATTTGCAATGCATTTTTAATAAAGTATTATGAATAATATATATTTTATCAAATATAATACTTACTTAATACCATGTTTTTTGGACCAACCAATTGGAAATATGTATGGATGTTCTGCTGTACAAAGCCAAGTATTATTTTTTGAATGATTATACAAACAAGACTCAATGTCGCTACCCTTCACATGTTTATCATATTTGTCTATATGGACTAAAAAATATATGTCATCGAATACTTTAATAACAGTAGCTGGATAGATTTTAGTCTGATTAATTGGATCCAATGCTTCCAATTTCATTCCAACTTTAAAATTATGTTTAGGATGATCGATATTATTTTTAAATAATTCTTCTGGTGTATCACAGTTTTTTGGATTAGATTCGAGCGAATCTTTCCATTCTTCATAGGTATGTCTATCTACTATAGAACTAGGTGGTTCCAAAAACCAAGTTGTATCCGATTCGGATGCAAATCCATATTGATGCAAATGTTCCGATGTACAAAATATCCAAAAATCTTTGAATGATGAACCAGGTGTATCATACCTCAACAAAAGACGTCCACCAACGTTATCTATAATCTGAAAAGAAATGTATTTACAAAATAATTAAGTTTTCGAACGCAATAATATAAAAAATGTATTGAAATTATATTTAACTTTTAATTTGTTACAATGTAACAATGCTTACCGTAGCTACCCATAATTTATAAGGGTGTACCACATCGCTTACTTCCACTTTCATTCCTTGTTTAATTTTTTCTGTCATGCTAAGACCATCCTATAAAAAAATAAATATTATTTAATAAAAATAATAATAAAAAATACAATGATATGGTAACTAATTACTAATACAAAGAAAGATGATAAAATTTACCCCAGATAAAAGTACTGATGGTACAGTGCGTGCAGTTTTTAAAAATTCTGATAATTTGTCGATGCAATCTGGTGACTTTTGAACTACGATGTCAGGAGGCTCTAATTTTTTATTATTCGCTTTACACCAGCCAAGTTCATGACCGGCTTCTTTGGTAAGATTAAACCAAAATTCTAATGTTCTCTCATCTCCACCAAAGTATCGTAATCTTAATAATGGCCCACAAGCCATAACAATAGAAGCAATCCAATAACTTGTATTGGATTGATCTACTGTTTTTCCTATTGGTACCTCTAAGGACATTCCAATTTCAATGCCACTTTCCAATGTTAATTCAACATGTGGAAACATAATTTGTGGTACCTCAACACTTTTAGTAGCATCAAGGTAATCTTGCCAAAAAAATCCATTTTCTGTAAAAAAAAATACAATAAAACTAAATAATGTAATGTTGAAAAAAATATTTTTATTATTTTATTATTTAAATAAATAATATTTTAATTTTTTTTTTGCTAG